ACTGGCTGCTGGGCTGCTCCTGCACAGGTCCTGGGTTCATTTCCCAGCGCCCACATGGAGGTTCACAACCACCTATAGCTCTGGTTCCAAGGGATCAAATGCCTATTTCCGGCCTCTGAAGGCACGGCATGTACCTGGTGCATATATATACGTGCAGGCAAAACACCCATACATGTAAAATAAGAATAAATCTTGACAATAAATAATAGTCTAGTTGCCGTTAGAAGTAGATTCATTCACTTAGCTGTAGACCTTTTGTTTCTTTGTTTGTTTTTTTCTAAGATGGGGTTTCTCTGTAGCTTTGGAGCCTGTCCTAGAACTACTCTTTGTAAACCAGGCTTGCTTCCAACTCACAGAGATTCTCCTGCCTCTGCCTCTTGAGTGCTGGGATTAAAGGCGTGCGCCACTGCCACCCAGCTTGTAGACCTATTTTTAAATAGATATTTCCTTCATATTTGCTATGTGGTAATTATGTATTTATCGAGTACAAGGTGATGTCAGCAGATGCATGCAGATGAGTGACATATGGCCTCAGACACCTACTGTCCCTCTAGGCTGGGCTAGGAGCATTCAAAATCCTCACAATGAGCTACTGGAGGTTAAAAGTGATTCCTCAAGTTCAATTTAGAAAATTCGATTTTACTATCACATATAAAATTATAATAAAAAGCCAGACCTGCAGGCATAGGCTTGTCATCCCAGTTATGTGGAGGCGGAGGCCTGGTCTACCGAGTGAGTTCAGGGTCACTTTAGGTGACTTAGTAAGACCCTGTCTCAAAATGAAAAATACAGAAGGGGCCGAGGCTGAGGATGAGAGTCAAGGCTGCTGCCGTGCATGCGTGAACCCAGTGTCCAGTGCCCAGAACAGCAAACGCAACATCAATGGCAATAAATTTTTTTGGTGTGTATGTTTCTGCATATTTATCTTACTTTGGGATTGGGGGTGTACTGGGGACGGAAGCCAGGGCCACCTGACCTTAAGCATATGTTCTGAGTTCCACCCTAATGCTTTTCTGACCCTCTGTCCCTCTTTCCTGCCTTCCTTTCAGGGTCTATCTCCCCACTCACCCACTCATTTCTCTTGAGATAGTGTCTTTTGTAGCTCAGACTGGCCTTTTCTTCTCATGGTGTGGTTGAGGCTGACCTTGTATGACCTCTACCACCTCACTGCTAGGATTACAGGCATGAGCCATCATGCCCAGTCTATACAGTGCTGGGCTGGAACCCAAGGCTTTCCGTATAACAGGCAGGCAAACACTCTGAATCACGTTCCCAGCCTCTATCTTGCTTCTTAAAGCAGAATTTGAAGAACAGGACAGTGAACCAAGGGTTTTTCATTGCGACGTTTGTGTCTCGATTGCTCTCTAGGATCTCCAGTCCTGCAGGTCCCTGCCCCAGCGGGCTCCAGGCTTCCTTCTCTGGGTCCGTGTCAGCTCTCAGGGCCGTGGCTTAGTAAAAGCGTGACAGCTGATGGCCAATCTTACAAGTGAAAGCATGTCACCGTGTTGCTCTGCGCCCCCGTAATTGCTAGATGCACATTCCCAAGTGCTCATTTGCTCCTGACTAACATCGTGAGTCCCTAGGGAGGGCCTGTGTGCAGCCCCTTGCAGATCTGGTATCCAGACTTTTTAGGTATCTTACCCAGAGATACCTAAACCCAGTCTTATCTGTGCCCAACATGCTTTTGAAATAGCAGAATTTGTTTACATTTCTAAAGCCAAATACAGCCATGGATTCTGCCTTTGGCATCTGCTGAGAAAAAAAGAATCCCTCTGCATCAAAGTCCTGTGTGTATTTTGTCCCATTGTCTTCCCACAAGGAATTAGCCTATGAGACCAGGTGATGAAACCTCTTCTGAGTAGTTGGAATTTTATCTTACCCCAGGCCAAAGTCAGAATCTCACCTGTACAGACTGGACACGCCTGGCTTGCCTGCCTCCCCTTTGATCTTGCCTTAGGATGTTTGAGGTCAGGAGATTCCCACCTGAATGAACAGAGGAGCCTCCTGCTGATCGACAACTCGGCCTGAGCCAGAGGCACAGAGGACTCAGTAATCCAGGCCAGCTTGAGACTGGGGTTGTATAATACTCTAAAGTCATGGCAGCGAGCACTGACCTCCCCAGAAAGAGGCTTTTTCCTCATGCTCTTAGGCTGTGCCAGGTGCTACAGGGCAGGTGTGTCACAACTCAGGTCTCAGACAAGGAACTGGGAGTCTAAAGAGCACACAGAGAAGCAGGGACCCAGTCCAGACTGCAGAGGGTGACACGCTCCTTCTGCTTCTGGGACAGAACTGTCCCCTGGGGTCAGTGACACCTAGCTGCAGCTGTCAGGTTGAAGGAGTCCTATGGAACCTTTCAAGGCAAAGGGGAAGACTGTTGAGGTTGGGGACAAGAATCAGCACTCCAGAGGTGAGGACAGCCCGAAGGGAGGGGTACTTGGGTTGGTGCCCCACTGCTCAGTCTTTGGGTCTGGGGATTGGGGTGATGGTGCAGGAGACAGGTGTTTGATAGAGCCACATGTAAGGCCCTGCCCCAAAGTCTGGAGAGAGGACAGCCTAGCGAGCCAGCACAGCTCTCTGAAGCCCTCACATATGCTTAGCCCTGTCTGTCATGATGGGCATGGCTGTGCTATAGACAGGCAGACAGGACAGGACAGAACGTGACAGGTGTTTCCGAGAATGGACTTTGTATAGAGATCTAAAGGATTCAAGTGCCTAGCCAGGCGGAGGGTCCGGCAAGAAGAGTCCTGGCTAGGAGCCTAGGGCGCGCAAAGGTCCCTAGGCAAGGCTGGCTCAAAGGCCGAAGCCTGTGCCAGTGTGGGTGGAGCCTGAGGAGGGCACCAGAGGACCCTGCCAGTGTTCCAGCTGCCAGGATGGTGACACATGAGCTGGCTTCCAGAGCAGGAGTGGTTATATGAGGCTCAGAGTCACTCAGTCAATCATGAGAGGGTACACAAGAAAAGCCCATCTTCTCTGCTTCTACTGCCAAGGCTACCACAGGGGCCATTCCCTAGAGATGCTGGCCCAAATGGTGTGTCCATTAAAAAAATTTACTGTTGCCAAGTGGTGGTGGTGGGGGCAGGCCTTTAATCGCAGCACTGGGACAAAGCCAGGCAGGTCTCTGAGTTTTAAGACCAGCCTGGTCTACAGAGCCAATTCCAGGTCAGCCAAAGCTTTGCAGAGAAAACCACAAACAAATGCACTGTTATTGTTAAGGGGGAGGGTGCACATGCATGCCATGGTGTACACGTGGTGCTAGCTCTGCTTCTACCTTCACATGGATTCCAGGACTCAAACATGTATTTCCAGACCTGCACAAGCTGACCAATCTCGCCAGACCCCAAGCGTGTCCATTTTAAGACCCAGTGATTGTGACATGTCTTGCTTGTCCCCATTAGCGAGACTATCCTGCATGGTTATTCAGGCAATTCCTGGGTGGCTGTGTTGTGGGAGGATCCACACTTGCCTCACCAGCGCCTCCTGCTGGTGTTGCCTTCGCTTCTGCAAACAGGCAGTGAGTGCCCCATCAGAGACCACGTACATCAAGCTTCTGACGCATCTGACAGGAGAGGAAGAGAGTGAAGACCAGGTCAGAGGGTTTATATCTGTAATTCTAGAACTCAGGAGGCTGCAGCAACAGTCTCTGTGAATTGGAGGCCAGCCTTGTCTACAATATGGAACCCTGTCTCAAAAAAAAAAATTAAAAATTAAAAAAAGCCCCATTGATTCACAAGTCTTGATGTGAGGGTCCCTGAGACAGAAGTTGGTTAAATGGCTCCTGCTTTTTCCGCTTGAGTAGTACCAGAATGCACCGGGGCCCTGGCCAACTCCCATTCTTCTTACAATCACTAGCAGTCCTGGCACAATGCAGGGCTGCCTCCGCTGCAACTCTTAGAGGAGTATCTAACTACAAGCCTCCTTGGCCACCCTCAGCCATTCTCTCTAGAACCCGGATGTCTGCACCCACCTGGAAATGGTCCCTCACCTGGTCTTCTGACTGGGGCTCTCTTCTATGCCTCTGGCTGATTCAAGGTGTTTTTTACACAGCCTTGGGCATCTGGTTGGAAACATCTGGAGTCTTGAGCCCCAAGAAAGTGAGGTCTGTGACCTTCAATGTCTGTGCCGGAGCATGTGTCTGCAGGGAAGTATCTAGGGTGCAGATCCCAACTCACCCGCTGTCTGTCATATGCGGTCCTGTTTCAGGTCCAGCCCCAAGGAGGGCAGTTAAGTGGTACTCAGCCCTACCCCAGAGACTGTTAAAGGACAGGGCGTCTGCATCTCTAGGTGATAGCCATGACATTCCCAGTTCAGTCTCTGCCATGCCACAGGCTGTGGGGGGCGGGGGCATCAGCCCCACCAGAGAATGTAGCAGGCAAGCATATTTACCTTTGAGAGAGTTACACGAGAAGGTAAGAAGCAGGAAGCAGGTCTACTTCTGTGCATCCCAGACAGCCAGGGACATGATGTCAGACAGGATGGAAGCAACAAGACAAGAAATAGAATGGTGGTGCTAGGGAACCAGAAGATTGTTTAGCCAGAAGGTGGCAGAAGTCTTGAAGGGGAGGTTAGGAAGGAGGCTACAGTCAGAGCAACGGTCCTGGGGCAGCGAGTCTGGTGTGATAAAGAAGCAGAAGGGAGGCTAGTGTGACCTTGAGCAGCCAAAGGACAGTCAGAAAAGAGCAAACATTGGACTTTGTGGGCTCCAGGGAGGATGTGACTCGAGGTGAGCTGAGACTTCTGGGTAATGGCGTGGTCCAGCCCAGGTCTCCTGAAAATCTCTCAAGCTGTCTCACCAGGAGGAGAATATGGAGGAGGTGGGTAGATCCAAGAGGCCGGAGGCGGGGGTGTCTATCATGTGCTAAGGACAATTCGGGGAGGGCGGCCTCAAGGTGGCTCCTCACCAGGGTCCTTAGCAGATCATTGCTCACCAGTGGCTCTGCTCTGAGTGCGTGAGGAACATCAAGTCGCATAGCCTGGTAAAGGACTGTTTTAATCTATTACAGAGATCACACAGAACGGTTAATGAACTCATCATAAGCCACACAGATAGAAGACCATGGAGTCAAGATTTGGACCCACGTTGTTGGAAACCAGAACCCAGGCTCTTAAAAGGAAGATCATAATGCCTCCCCTATAAGAAACTATTTATAAAGGCAACAAAACCCTGGGCCTCTATCAGGAAGGTGAGCCGCTGGAAGACGGGTGGAGGTTAGTCTGACTGTAAGCTGCCCCATGGATCCACCAGGGAAGAATTAGTTCGAGTTGGCCTGGGGAGTCCTCCCCCCATCTCCATTTTATCTTCTGGGAATGTGGGGAAGGGAGGATTAGCCACCCAATGAAACACTGGCATGGGGAACCTGGAAGAATGGGAAAGACAGCTCTGGAAATGGACCAGTCACAGGCAGGAGAGGTCAGTGGAGGGGACCTTGGAGAAGGGACATGGAGCTGTGTTACAGGTTCCTAAGGCACTGGGCATTTGGGATGCAGGGAAGTTTAGGAACGCGCCTCCATTCACACTGACTGGTCCTATAAGAAGGGACCCTGATCAAGGTCATGGCGCTGAGACCTGACAAGCTCAGCTAGGACGAAAACCTACCATGGTGGGTAACAAGTCCATCACTTGCACTACTGAAACCATGTCTAGACCCACAAGGACCCTTCCACGGTAAAGTGGACTCCTGTGCTCCTGTCAGGAACCAGCACGCCTGGGGATACAAGGGCCCTACAGTGACTGACCAGAGAGAGCCTTTGCTTGCTCTGTGAAAACCCACCGGTCTCTCCATTCCTTCGTCTAGGTCAGAGATGTCTCTGCTGACAGGAGGCCCCTACTCTTGCAGGATCCTGTCTCTCAGGCTCACCTGACCATTCATTGAAAACAACCCCCAGCCCATCCCTCCCCCATAGGCGGCAGCTTCTCTGCAGGCCCCAGTCTGGCCTGGCCTGCTGCCACTAGCCCACACTGGCCCTGGGCCTCCCTCCGTGAGAAAGTCCCTCCGGGAGGATTTGCCATCTTTTGTTCTCGGCTGCACTTGCTGTCGTGAGCTGAGTGCTGAAGCAGTTTTTCCAGTGCAGACCAAGGCTAAGCTAGCCTGCTCAGTCTGGGACCCATGGGGTCGGGAGACGGGCGGGCTGCAGCGCTGCCCTTGGGGACTGAGGTGTCCCTAACCCCCTCGAGGACCCCCTCACACAGCTGACAATAGTGGCTGCACAACTCCTTTGCTGAGGTCACCAGGCTGCCTGTGTTCTGGAGTCTGGAGTCCCCTATCTAATTCTGAGCTCTGCCCATGAGGTCCCAGGACTGTTGTTCCCCAGTGAGTTCCCCAAAACATTTGAGAAGCCCTTGCTTTGCTCCTGGCCCAGATGGAAGTGTTTCCTTGCTGGTAACCTCTGGGGGTGAACCAATTCCACATGGGCATGGCTCGGGTATGAGCAGGCCATAGCACAAAGGTGCTTCAGGCCGGTGCTATTATGTCCCTATTACCCTCATGTCATTAGCCGTGTGCTCCTTGTCCAGCCAAGCTTCCAGAGGTGTAAACCCATCAGAGTGTCCACCTTTCAGACAACCAAATGGCCAGTGAAGATGAGCTCGGTGTCCAGCTAAGTGTCCAGATGTCAGGACACTTGGAGAAGTGAGGCTTACTCATTCTTTGCTATATTACATTAACTGCTTATGGGGGTAGGCAAGTGCTCGACCACTGGGCTGCACTCCCAGCCTGAGATTATACAAGTATTGTAGTTCATAAGAACACGCTGGCCTCTTCCGGTGCAGGGACGACCCAGCCACGGGTGTTTTCCCTGCGTCCACTGAGACAGTAGCTGGTGTGCAGATGGCCATCCTTGCCACGTTCACTGCTTAGCAAACATTCCAGAGCTCAGCCCCTGTAACAGTGGCAACATCGGCTGTGTTCCCAGATCTGCCAGCTAGGGTTTGTGTGAGGGGGAGCCACTCATGACACATAGCATCATTGGGGATGATGGGAAGGATGGAGGCTGGAGTTAGCTGAGAGATTGCTTTCACCTCCCTCTCTGCGCATCAATGCTGATTCCCAGTGAGCTGAGCTCTTAGCTGCGACACCCACACATGGGTCCTCTATGCAGCTACACCTCCCACTTTCTGGAGGCTGTTTCCTAAGCAGCCCAGGAGAGCACTGGGAAGAGGCTGTGTCAGCTTTTATGATCCAGTCTTGACAATCAGGCCTCATCCTATTGATCCAGGCAGTGTGGAGACCCATCCATGACCAAGGGACCAGAAACAAGCAGTCCCTGTGTCCTGACACAGAGCAGCAAGATCCCAGGAAAGCATATGAGTGGATATACTGCTTTGGCTAATTTATTCTTTTACATTTGTGTGTGTGTGTGTGTGTGTGTGTGTGTGTGTGTGCGCGTGCATATAGGCCAGACACTGACACTAAGTGTCTTCCTCAATAATTCTCCAAATAACAATAATAATTGCTATTATTGTTTTATCATTATTGGTTTTGTTTTGTTTTGAGACAGGGTTTCTCTGTGTAACAGCTCTGGATACTAGGAACTCACTTTGTAGATCAAGTTGACCTCGACCTCAAAGATCCACCTGCCTCTGCCTTACCAGTGCTTCTCACTGAACCTGGTTCAGTGGTTCAGCAGACTGCAAGAACCCAGCTGTCTTCACCTCCCCAGTGCCTGGCTTATGTGGGCGCTGAAGAGTCAGACCCAGGGCTTTATACTGGCACAGCAAACACTTCAGCAACTGAGCCATCTCTGTCCCAGATGGCAGACTTTTAAATAAACGATTGTGTGTCAATTGATTATCTAGATAGAGAGGACAGAAAATTAAATTCCCACCCTGATGTGTGCAAAGCTGCTTTCTGGGTGGGGTAGGACAAAAGCATGAAGGATGCATCTGCAAAGGTTCAGGGTAACGAAGGCACCTGACAAAGAACAGATATCCACAAGGCATGGACTGCAGCTAACAGGGGCAGAAAGAGGAAGGCATGCAGGAAGGATGCCCAGTGACATGTCGCAGAAGAAAGCTGAGAGCCATTCAGCACTTGAGGAGATATCAGTCCCTCACTGTCCATGGTGGTAAGCAAGTTAAAGCCACACTAAAGCCGTGGTGTCCGGGGTGACACACAGCAGCGTCAAAGGCACAAGGGAGGCAGAGGCAGGAGGAGCAGGGTCTCAAGGCCACCCTCAGCTATGTAATAAATTCCAGGCTAGCCTGGGCTAAACGAGACACTGTCTCAAAAAGCTCATACCAAAGTATGGTTCTACTTAAGTCTAGCTCGGTGAACCAACGGGTTTATTTGGTTTGTTTACAAGAGCATGGGTGAGGGGTTTATACCAGGAGTATTGGTGAGCACCCCAAACAGTTGCATCATGGGAAAGTCCCATTTCAGCGTGGGTGAGGACTTCCCAACCACTGCCTACATGGAGTCCCCTCATCAATTAACCTTCCGCCTCCATGCACTCGGTCTGCCCGGTGCCCCAGATACCGTGAGCATCAGGTGACGTGTGACAACCTCCCCACTATCTCTTTTTTTATAGGGAAAGTCAGCAGGCCCAATACTGAGGGCCTCTTGCCAGCAGCCACAGCTGCTCCGAAGATGGTAACTACTATCGTGCTTGGAGGACTGTGTTCCAGAGCAGCAAGGAAAGGAAGGAACCTTAATTCACCCGCTCGGGAGTGGAGTCAGCACAATGGCTTGGGAAAGCAGCGTGACATGATCTAGTGACATAAACTCATATCCATGCCATGAGCAGCCACTGCCACAGTGAGCATGCGAGAGCAGCGGCTTTCCATGCATCGAGATGTGTGCTGCTTGTGAGAGGGAAAGTGACACAGAATAAATATTCTCAGTAAAATGGACAAATACCCCATGCTGGCTTCCTACAGGGGGAGGCTCCCAGCAGCAATGGAGCCACACAAGCCATGTGCTCCTACCGTGGCCGTGGTTCACAAAGTAGTTCACGTCAGCAAAGTGGCTCCAGAATGCAAAGGATTCAGGGGTTAAGCTGAGCCTTGGGTAAAACTAAACAAGGTACTGGCAAAGAATAGTCAGTACCCCTGTGGCTGTCATGTGGGATACAGGGCTCTTATTTTTCTGTAGTGCTCAGAGGGAACCCAAGAGAGTGCTCCGCCACTGAGGCACACTCTAGCCGAAGCTAAGACATGAAAATCATTTTGAGTCTTAATCGAGGTACTTGTTCTTTAAAATAACAATAGTAATAATTGCTGGTCCAGTGGGTGGGAGTACTGGCCACGTGAGCGTGAAGACCTTAATTATGTCCAGTACCCATGGTAAAAGCTGGTGTGTGGCTGCCTGCTTTCATAAGCCCTGCGTTCTCAGGGTTGGAGACAAGAGTGTCATTGGGGCTCATTAGCCATCAGCCCAGCTCCAGGTTCAGTAGAAGACCCCGTGTCAAGGTAAAGAGTGAGAGAAAAGCACACCCACTGAGCCTTTGTCCTTGAGTGCAGAGGCATACACATGTGCACAAACCACACACAAATAAGTTCCTATCCTTTGAAATGCATTCTATAGATTTGTATATTTCATAGTAAAAAACGGGGGAGAACCCTGAAAAAAAAGTGGCAAGGGAATGTTTAATTTCAAGAAAAGCAAAAGGAACTTTTCCAAGGACATTCCAGAAAGCACCATGGCTGCTGAGGCGGTCAAGGCTGCACTCCACACCCTGTGTGGACAGGGCTGACCAGAAGAGCTTTGCCCTTGCCTCCAGAGGCAGGAGCTAAACCAGCTAACCTCAGGAACCAAGTCTAAGTACCCTCCTTTGCAAAATGAGGAAATACTCCGACCAAAAGAAAGAGAGCCTTGTGGCTCACACCCGGTATCGGAGCTATCAGGAAGCTGAAACAGGAGGATGGCTGTGAGTTTGAGGCCAGCCTGAGCTCCAGGATGTGGAGAGGACAGTGTTCTAGAAGCCACAAGAGACTAAGCTCAGAGACAGAACAGTCACCTCACAGAAAAATGGCAGTGAGAAAGCCACCTGTGGGATTGTGTCTACCCTCTGCTCGGGTTCTCAGAGGCTCAGGGGAGCAGAAGTGGCAGCTGGTGAGGCGGGTTGGCCACTGTACCACGATCACTTCTGCGTCACTTGTACTTTTTACACCATTACGCAAAATCCAGCCCTCCCCTCATAGGAAGTAGTTTATTCTGGAGCCAAACATGAGCGACGTGGCCATGTCCCAGGAGTCCAGACTCAGGTTCCCCAAGCATCACACTCCAGTGCAGCAGGAGTCTCGTCGAGTTTATAGTGACAGAACAGAGAAAGGCGTAAGGCAAGGCACTTTTCAGATACTTTGGTGGTAGCAACACTAGAGGTGGGTTAAAGCCAAGGACTGCTCTGGGACCCAGAGGCTGAGTGATGATGTTCTTAGCTTTTGGGTCATAGGAAGCTAGCATGGTTTGTTAATATATCCAAAAATATTTGACATGTTAGTCACGAGGATGTTAGGTTAGGAAGTGGGCGAGGAATGATTACTAAGGAGCATAAAGACAGCCATAGATAATTTGGCTCTGGACCTGCAATGTTCAAACCTTCCATATCTATGCAATTCTAGGCAGCCAATCAGCCTCGTAGGATCGTAACCTAGAGATGTCTGAGTGTAAGTGTGAGTCTGGATGGGATTAGAGTAAGCTGGGGTCTGCTGCTGCCAGGAGTGTTTGGGCTGGGGTGGTGCTGCCTTCTGAGTTTAGAATTCCCTGAAAGTTTCGAATCAGGCAGGGTCGAAGAGGGTAGTGTGTGTGTGTGTGTGTGCACGCGCGCGGGGGGGGGGGGGGCAGGGAAGGGAGGGAGTAGCTCTGAGGCTCCCAACCTTGCCACATCTCTGCAGATTTTCACAGCTGACCAAAGAAGGTTCAGTCTGGACACTGGCCTGGGAACTTTGCTACTGGCCCCACCTGAACTTCCCCCAGGGACTTGAGCGTGAGCAGAGCAAGGTCAATGCACGCTGTTTGCATGGTCTCCCCTGACGTGGGTCTCCAGTTTCAGTCTCTGCAACTTGTTTACAAGTCTGCGTCACTGGGAAACCTTTCACCTGGTGGGTACAAAAGGTTCTTTTTTTTTTTTTTTTTTTTTTGTGTAAATCCTTTTGGGGCAGGGATTTACACACACCGGGGCCCAGGACTCTAGTTAGCACAGGGCGACACCTGGTGGTGGGTGTAGACATTGCTCCATCTGTAGTTCTATTCTGAACTATCATTCTGCACACCAACATGTATGCCACACCTCCCCACACAAGATAGATCCACCCACAGAGCCACCTACCCACCTTTCCATATTTGGTTCATCCATCCACCTACCTACTGGTATGTAACTCTTCATGCCTACTCATCCACTTATCCCTCTGCCTCTCATGTAAATATTTATCTCCCTAGGGAAGGGGGAAGGGAGGAGGGCTGGCAAGAAAGGGCAGTAAGGAGGATGCTTCATCCAAAGCCGGCATGGACACAGCCAGACATGGTGGTCTGCAGCTTCAATTCTAGACTGAGGCAGGAGGATTACAAGATTACCAGCCTTATCTACCCAAAAAGTTCCATGACTAGCCTGGGCTACATAGTAAAACTCTACTTGAAAAGAATCAGATATGTAAATATTCAGTAATCCTCAGAAGCTTTGGCCATCTTGACAGAGTCATTCAGCCTGCAGCGTCTATGCCGTGGGTTCCACACTGAGGCACATAGGAGGCACATTGTTACCTGGTGACTCCTGTCCTCATGAGAATCACCACAGAGGCACTGGTGGAGGGTGACTGCTGCTTTGGGCTTACAACAAGAAAGTATCAGCCTGGACTAAGGGGTTAGGGATGGCCAGACTGAGCCACTGATGTCTTAGGCTGGGAAGGAGCAAGGACAGAGGGCTTGGTGGGCTGGACAAATCCTCACACAGGGTAGGCTCAGAGCCAGAGTGTGATGGGGCTGAGGGTAGACAACCCAGACCCTTGAGACTTCTTCAGTCACTACTTGGGACTTAGGCATCCCTGGGCAATAGGTCACTGAGGAATTTTTCTACTTCCTTATTTTATGACAAAATGTATTTCTACAGCTTCACGTAAGAAAAAAATTGGGGAACTAATGGCTATGATACCACCATGCGAGAATACTGTTTTGGGGATATGTACATGGGCAGCATGACTCCTCCACTCGCCCAAGGCAGAGACTGTGCTGTGCTACTCTGGGCCACTGCTGGGGTGAGCCTCGATAGAAGAAGAACTGGCTCCAGGCTCACAGATCTGTATCTTTATTCAACCAATAAAAGCAACATACCAACAGAAGAACCTCCTACACCAAGAGAAGTCAGGAGATAAGGAGTGGAGGGTTGGGGCTGGCTCTTCTTCCCCTACCCACTTGACCTAGCAGGTCACAAGCAGGCAGGGAGGCTGAGGGAATGTCTGGTAGATGGAGGCAGATAAGAATGGGCCAGAGCAAGGTATGGGCCTCTATCACCTGCTAGGAGGGTCAGTTCAAATGGAGCCAAGGGAAACTCCCAAGTGGCTCCTGAGAAACAGGTAGGAACTTGCCACCAGAATAAAGGACATTCCCCGACCACACCCCATCATCCCATAGGAAGCTGCCAAGCCAATGCAAAATCAGAAATGTCTGCTGTGACAAAACCAGAACCATAGAGATGATGTAAAATCTGCCCCCCTTGGAGGTGTCTGCCATCTTGGTAGATCCGTGACACCTTTCCCATGTGGAGATGTCCTGTGTCCCCTCCTTTCCCAAGACAAACCTCCTATCATGGAAGCCAGAGACTTTGGGGGAAGGGACAAGGTGCTGGCATACATAAAACACAGAGCCACCTGTAGGTCAGTGGTGGCCCTGACAGAATACACTTGGGCTCTATCCTGATTCCCTCATTCAATGCCTAGTGCCCTGGCCCTCTTGGGGCGGGGTCTGGGAGTTCCCCATGCCTTGTGGCTGTTTCTCGGCCATTCCTCTTGCTTGTCTGTCTTCAAGACCCTGGTCTGGTCCACTTTTCAAGGAGGGAAATAGGTCAGTTCCTCTTTAGGAAGACTGCTAGCTTTTCTGAAAACATTTTACTGTGAACAATTTTCAAGCCTTTGACATACATAGTTTTGAAAAGAACTCTTTAGGGGCATCCAGACCCACACACTGAGGGCTCTGGGAGGACAGCTGAAGAGGGATGGCCGCAGAGGCCGCCTCGCACACCTGCCCAGCCCTCCATCACCCTTTAGTCCACCAGCGGCCGCCTTGCACACCTGCCCAGCCCTCCATCACCCCCTTGGTCCATCTAATTTTTGAAATAAGCCTTTCGTCAGCCAATGATATTAGGCTAAGATTAAACATTCCAAATCAGGTATGGAGAGCTATCCACGGGGTAGAAGGACAAACTGGGTTCCCATAAGTTGTTCTCTGTCCTCTACATGCGTGCCTAACCAAAAACAAAAATTTGTTTTAAGTTTTCATGTCAGGCCACAGCTTCTAGGTGATTTTCTTTCTAACCTAAATAGCCAAGAGCCACAGCAGAGAACTTCTTACCAAGCTCGCTTTCCTGTTTCCAGGAGCTCAAGTACACATCACTGTTTTAAATGACGCAGAAGATCACAAGAGGAGCTGGAGGGAGTTAGGGTGTGTCTGGTTAACTGCTCTTACCGGTGTAGATAGGAAACCGGCTCTGTCTCACAGGGAGAAAGAATTTACTATGTAGCCAAATGAGTACCCACCCCCACCTCCACCCTGCCCCAGGAACACAGACTCAGGTTG